AAACAAAGGGGGGGGGGGGGGGGTTTTGCCCCCCCTCCTGTTACAGTGAACAACAAAGACGATACTAACTAGGTTTGCATAAAAACCTTCAGACTATTTTCGCACTGCAAGAAAGAAAAACATGGTGTCATTCCCCTTGGATCGCTATCAGCAACACATGATAGGTTGTTGCAAAGTTTTTCCTGACAATAGTCACCTTAATTGCGGACCCACAAGCTCCATAGATTCCTAACAAATCCATGGAAACAACCAATCCTGATCTCAAGTCTCTGTTTAAAGCGAGAGAGAGCATAGTATATGGTTCAAGTATTTGGACATGACATAAGATGCAAAGAGAGGAGGACACATGCTTTGATTTTTGGGATAGATGCTACAGCTACAGCGATGAAGATTGCCAATCAAATGTGTGCATGATAAAGGTTCAGTCAAGTAAGTAAAGGATAACACCAGGTAAACCTGTCCACTGCCTTTTCTTCAGATTTGAGATTTGCATATTATCCTCCATGTAGAATAAAGGATAAAATCTCATATACAATTCTGACCAGCAAATGAGAAACTTTTTTTTTCTAAATATGACATAAGAACTATCATACTGTGTTTAAACTATATAATGGCCTTATGATGCTAAACTTCTAAACTAAGTCTTTCTCTTTCCTCATTCTACAAAGTTAAGGGGGGAAAAAAAGAGCGGATGAAAAAGATTGAGGAACTTTTAGAAAACTTTGCCACTATATTAAGCATCTCTAAAGAACCACTAATATTTTTCTGTGAATCCACCAATCACGTTCTCTATAATTTTGAATATTGATATGGGCAAATCACATTCTCTTTAAGTTTGAATGTAGGCAAAAAGTAAATCAAACCAAATAACACCAAATGGAAAGGTACAATTTATCTCATCCTTTTGTTTATAATGCTAATAAAGTCTAGATACAGATATTAGATTTACTTGTGTGGTTATCCATAAAAATCAAACATAAAAGAATTGCACATAATTTTACGTGTATCACTGGTTAACTACATCACCACAAAGAAAAAGAAACTACACTACACTTTTCTACACTACTCTCTAGCTATGAGAGAGAAAAATGTAGGGTGCCTCGATTGGAGGCATCAACTTTGAAAAAAAAGTTAAAGAGATTGGACCCCACCCATTTCGCTCTTATAGTGTAAAAGTAATGAAAGTAGAGTAGTGTAGCTATCACTACTTGAATGTGATTTGTGTGGTAACTATGAACTAATAGCAAAAGTAGTAGGACTCCAGTTTATTAACAAAAACTTGCAAACATATGTACTAGATTCAAAAGGTGGAGAGAGGCAAATTCAAAGTTTATAACAAGGGGAACAATAACACTGACCATTAACAATGATATATACGATGTTACGGAGACAGTTATGGCTATAATAATTAATATATATACAAGTAATATATAATGGAGTATATTAGGATAGTGATCTCTAATGAACCGATTAGCATTCAAATCCATCATACCAAAAACAATGCCTAACTTTGGCAAGAGGATAGACTTCTTATTCTCCTTTTCATAAAGACACTGTCTATACAAAGCAAATGACATTATTAAATTAGCTAACGCCCCTGAAGACTTGACCACGTAATATAAGCAGGAAAAGATGATGCAATTAGTCTAGAATGTGACTCCTAATTCTTTACTTGACATCATATGCCAACTTAGACTCTATGATACGTCTAAGCTAAAAAAAAAAATATACATATACTATTGACTCTTTCTAGAATTAATTATGCAGTAGTTCGATGGTTGTCGGAGACTCAGACAGCAGGATAAGTATGCCAGCATTGTGACTAACACTTTAAATTATATATGATTAGGGTACGTAACATATTTGAATTGATACATGGACCCATATGATCAAACTTTTCATACTGTATAATTTTGAGTATGTATAAAAAAATAAAGTAATACACCTTTTGTCTATGTATGGACCAGCGCTTTACATATCACCGCTCATAGTTTGATTAATAGCATTAATACTCATAATGAACTAGCATCCTCTTTGTCACTTTCATAACTCAATATGTTTCTTCTTCAACAGCAAAGATTGATTGATCTATTTGGGGCGCGCGTGATCACCTCATCTGATCAGTAACCAGCCTTGTATTATTTATTGTTCATATATGCACTAAAATACCATATACCTATCTGTCAATTAATCTAGATATAAATCAAGTCAATCCTTCTCAAGAATAGTAGCCACTAGATGGGAGCCAACTAGAGAGAACCAAAATCATCCCAACTTCATACAATCATAGCTCTATCTACATATCCTCTATGTAGATGAATCTGAGGTCTCACTCTAATAAGATTTCCCATATCTATTCTTGGCTGGTTTTGTTTAGGAAAGTTTGACCAATCTTAACGTGACACGTTGATGTTTGTGATGTTGGTTGCTGATTGGCTGAGCTGAAAATGCCACTGTAGCAACCTAACTGTGAAAGAGATTGAAAGCTGGCAAATGAGGTTCACCAGATCTCCCATTGGTAGCTTTATGTTGGTGGTTAAATGTCATGATCTATCCATGTCCTTGAATATTACCACGGGTTAAAATAATTGGTGTCACTGTGATATATTGGATCTACGGTTGTACACAAAGTCCCAAACTAAATGCAAAACTATGGGAGCAGTCATAACGCGTGGGAAAGGAATGTTTAAAGAAGGAGGGTGACTCATTGGGAAAACTATGTGATGAACTTCATCCATTCCACAGCTGATGTTCTGAGGAGAGGAGAATATTCGGAAGAATGTCTGAATCATGGGTTGTGCTTGAAAACTGAATGGTAAAAGAAGAAGAAAAAAAAGAATAAATTGGAGGTTAGGTCTGTTTCACCCTCAGAACCTAACCAGATTTGGCTTCACATCTACGGCTTCATGCCTTTGGAGTCGCTCTAAAATAGTCTCTAAAAACTCAAATTTTATTCATCAATTTTCCATCATCCATAATGGGGGGAAAAACACCACCTTGTTTAAGGACTAAAAAGAAATCCTAATAACAAATAAAATCCTAACTATTACATAACATCAACTGTAAATCCTAACAAAATAACAACTCCAATAACTAAATAATAACTTCGTTCTAACCAAAAATCTCGACAAAAGAAAATTTGATCCTTAAAAGTCCGAAAGTCTAATGAGCCCCTAAACTATATACCCTGTTGTTCTATAAAGCCCCTAAACTATCATTCTAATCTAGGAAGCCCGTAAACTTTCAAGTTTCAACCTATTTGACCCTTTAGCTCCAAGTGCCACCCAAAATGCTACTGTAGTAAAGGTAAAAGTGGTATATTTAAAAAATGAATCCACGTGAGATATTTTATGAATCCTTGCCTCACCACTGCAAGAACGCAGCGTCTTCTTTGGTTATTACCTATTGAGTCCTCTCTGTATAAAAGATCATACTTTCATCTAGCAATCTTCTCATTCTAGATCAGTTCTTAAAATTATTTACTGAAATTTTAAAATTCTTTGGGGATAGTCTCTAAGGCTTTGATCGGTTGTTATTATCTTGATCAAATTCCTTTCAGTTCTGAATTGTGTTGTTTTATTACTTAAACATAGAGTTTAATTACTTAAACATAGAGTTTAATTTGTTTAAAGTTTCAGTTCTGAATTGTGTTGTTTTATTTTTTTTTTTTATGGGAGTATACTGAACTATGCTTGTGGACTAAGGTTTTGCATCTTTTAGATGTATTTAATTTGTCTAGTTGTTAAATATAGTGCGAAAAATAAAAAAGAGAAATTATAAGCATTGTCATGCATTTTCTTTTCAATTGTATTTTATTAAATATAGGTAGCAATAGCAATGGACTTTACCGTCGCATGCTCATGTAGGTTCATTTTTAAAATATCCCAATTTCCTTCTCTACAGTAGCAATGGACTTTAGCAATGGATTTTAGCATTTTGGGTAGCAGTTGGGGCTAAAGGACAAATAGAACGAAACTTGAATGTTTAGGGGCTTATTAGGTTAGAATGATAGTTTAGGAGCTTCAAAGAAAAATTGGGTATAGTTTAGGGGCTCTTGAGAATTTGAGCTCTAAAAATCCTAAATCCGATCTGTCTGGCATCAGGGAGAAAATAAACTAAAAAAATTGGGTGAATCCTGGTTTCTGCCAAACAAACAGTTCATGCCCTCAGGACCTTAACCAACCTTAACCAAGTTAAGATCAACTAACCTTGTTAAGGAGCTGCTGCCAAACACAGCCATATTCTTCTGCTTCACACTAATCATGAAGCAGACATTTCTGCAATCGCCAGCAATTCAATGTATAAGGTTGACAGTTACTTCCTTAGCATGAATGTAAGAGACAAGGCCCCCCTTTGCAGGCACCAAATACTTACTCGTCAATGAACATAGAACAAATTATATAAATAATTGAGATTCTAGTTGATAACCGGTCATTAAAAGTACCCAGAAAAAAAATTTAATTTAAAAGGAAAAATAGGGGGAAAAGATGGATGAGAAATTAAAATCAACCAAGATTTTGGCAGATAAACTCTGACTGTAGTTGCTAAGGTTACTTGGATTTGTAGAAACTTGGTGAGAGCGCAAAGGATGAAGCCGGAGATGCTGCTTAGCCTCTTAGTAGTATCTACCTAGTAGATCTTCACAGTATCAAGTTGGAATGTGGAACCTCCATAAGGAATTAAAAGATGCTAACACGCTTGTTTAACTTGTTGAATAACGGAACTCTACTTTTGCCCCAACCACAGATCATTCTAGCCCCCACAAATTATGTAGTATTCAAAAGAGAACCCTACTGTTCTCACATGAAACCAAACTATAAGCGTCCCTCTTCAGAAAAAGGTAGTCGACTGTAAATGTTGGCTGCTACATTATAGATGTTGTATGTTCTTTATAATTTTATAAAGCTCTCAAATAAAAATTTTCCCCTGTAACATTTGATCTTTGAATAGAAGAATCGGGGCACAAAAAAATGAAAGAAAAAAAAAAGGCTGTGCTTCTAGGCATGAAAGCCACGGTGAACAATTGAACATTTTATGAAGGAGACTCACCATTACAAACCTCAAAAATTTATTATACGTCAATCTAAAAAAGTAATTCATAGATGTAGCAGGAAGAAAATTTTATAAACGACTAAAGATGATATTAAACAGTTGAAAAAGATGCTTAGGCACATGACCTTTAGAATTCAAGTCATATTTTCCCTCATCTTTTGTCAATGTCAAATGTCTAAGATTTTGCTGCACTCTTCATAGGTTTTTTTGAATTGTTTTTGCGCCTAGTCTTTACAATGGCGTTCTCAACATCCTGCAAAAGGAAGGCAATAAAAGATTAGCATCATAGATATATTTAGCGCATTATGGAACATGTATTTTGCAGCAATACGCATTGCCATGAACTTGTAACATCGCATGGCAACACTCAACAAAAGTAGTCACACGTTCCTGTTAGAACTGTCCCTAACATGGACTACATATGAATAACTCAATTAGTTTGTTATGGTGGTGTTATTAAATAAAAAACTGTTGAAATACAATGTGAGTTAAAAATTAATTTGATTCAATAGTTTAGGTCCAAGAGTGATTTTGGAAGTGGATGGGTTTAAAAATTAATGGGGATAAAACTTTGGTTTATAGACAAATAACTCTTCTTGGATGTGAATTAAGTTTAAAAATAAAAGGAGGTAAAACTTTGAGTCTCTACAGTTTGCGATGATGGGACATTTGCGTGAGAAAACCAACAAAGTAATAGTTTAAGCATTTTGTTTAAAAATACACTACATGCCTAACCACCATTCTTACGAACAAGCACACCCACCACACACACCTAGGATCCACCTTTCCTGCATATCCATACAATACCCGAGCAGGCGGATTGAGGTCCTACAGGGTACCCACTAATCGGAATACCCTCCCACCAAAAAAAGATGTGTGCTTCTTTCCATAGAGATTCGTGAAAACTGAAAGAAAACTGACTCCTAAGATCATTTATCAATTCACAACTTCTCCTTCCCTTCTTTCTTAGCGCTAGATGAGAAATATCCACTCCCTCAAAGTCGGTAGTTTTCCCTGTCTTCAAATGAGATATCGTTGTGAAGACTCGCATAAGAGAAGAGGCAAAAAGGTCACCTCCCTTTTTACAATCACATAAGTAGCCATCTAAGATTCCCTCTCATCGAGTCGGAGAGCTCACATTCATGCGCTTTAGCATCAAAATTACTATCCATCTTAGAGCTAAATTAGAAAACAGATATAGCTAGCTACAACAACATAGCAACTTACATCATATATCAAACTATTGAAATAAAAAGTTGATGTAGAATGTGGAGTGTTTTAAGTCTAATAGTGATAAATGGCAGTAGAACATTGGGTTCATATGCAACTTTTTTGGGAAGTGAGTTTTTTTTAAAATAAATGGGAATAAACCTGGGTTATAAGCAAAAGACTCCTTAGATGGGTGTGATAAAAATAAATTGGTGTACAATTTTGGATTTATAGGCAAAAAAATCCCTAGTAAAACTTTGAAAGTGGGTAAATTTAAAAATTAATGGGGGAAAGTTTTGGAAAGGCTAAATTACCAATTTGCTATTTTTTTTTGTACGCCTCTCTTACTAGTTTAGTATTTTTTTTCTAGCTCCGGTGACGTTTTGGTTTTATTTCTAAGACACTTCTGCATTTAGACCAAAAGCTTCACCATCAGTGGAAAAAAAGCCACGAAACCTCTTTCCTCCTAGTAGTTTTTGGTCTCCCAAGCTTTCTCTTTACTGTGGTTGGAGGTAACATCATACCCTCCCATTATTTGTCCCAAAATTTACTTCCTTATAGTGGAATCCACAATTCTTACATAGGCTTGGGCATAATTATGAGCCATATGCCAACGTGCCAAATAATCTTCTGCTAGTTTCCTCATGAATAAGATAGTACTAATACCTATCTCGTGAGGTTTTCGCAGTTTTTTTTTTGGCTGACAGCGAAGCTTTGGGTCTAATTGCACATTGCACATTTAGCTTAAAATAAATATCAAAACGTCGTCAGAGGTATAAAAAATACCAAATTGGTAAGAGGAATAAGAAAATACTAACCTGGTAATTTAAAAAAAATCAACTTTCAAATTGGGTGGGTTTAAAAAGCAACTAGGGTAAAACTTTGGGTTTATAGTTAAATAAAAGAATTATAAAATTTTAGGCATGTCAAGAATCAAACCCATACTTTAGGTTTAGTTAAAAAAAATTAAAAGTTACAAAATTTTGAGCATGTCAAGCATCACATTAAAGATCCACTCCATTCGGCCAAATTGTCTCCTACTAATAATTACCATATTTTTTACATTGTAAGTTATTGGGGATAAATACCCAGAAATAGTTACCATATTTTTTTGCGTAGTAAATTATTGGGGATGAAGTGTAGCTAAGCATTGTTCATTTCCAATAACTTAAGTATATAACCAGCATAATACGATGATGCGGCATTAGTGTAAAAATTTGGAATAAAAAAATGGTTTAAAAATACGTAGTACCTAATCACTTCAAAATATAGCAAGCTACACTGAGAAATATGAACTTACAACATTTACCAAACTTGGTAAAATGCAAAGTGAAGTTAAAATTAAATTGATGAAGTATTTCTTATCTAAGAGCCATATGGAAGTATGTGGGCTTTAAACTAAATGAGGGAAACCTTTTGGTTTACATACAAATAATCCCTTCTGAAACTGGGTTGCCTTTAAAGTAAATGGGAGAAGGGAGGGGTAAAACTTTAAGCTTAGGCAAAAAACTCATATACAGTTCACAATATTGTGGTATTAATGTGAAAAAAGAAAAAGAAAATAATGATTTAAACATTTTGTCTAAAAATACATCACTTACCCTACCACTTAAAAAATATAGCTATTATAGTGTGTTTTAAGTCTAAAGTGATTTTCAAAGTGCGTAGGTTTAAAACTAAACGGGGGCAAAATTTTAGGTCAGAAGAAACCACTCTTTTGAAGTGGATGAGTTAAGAAAAAGATAAAATTTTGGACTTGTAGCCAAAAATTCTTATGGGAGTGTATCGGCTTAAAAATAAAATCAGGGTAAAACCTTGTGTTCCAAGATGAAAAGACACAGGAAGACTTGTAGGTGAGTATAAAAGCTAATGGGGATAAATCTTTGAGTTTAAGATGAAAAATCAACTCTGGAAGTGGATGGGTTTAAAAATAAATGAGGGTAAAACTTTAGTTCTGTAGGCAAAAAGAACTCCTGTATACTCATGTTTTTTGGTCTATTGTTTATAATCATTATAGATCTCCCAAAAATCTTTGGAAGTGAGTGGGCTTAAAAGCTAATAGGGTAAAACTTGGGTTATAAGCAAAATATCCAACTTTAGAAGTGACCGGGTTTACAATAAATGAGGGTAAGATTTTCGATTTATAGGCAAAAATACCCATAAAATATTTCAGTATAATAAAGAAGGTTTATTATGTAAAAAGTTGATAGAAGGGTTTTTATCATGAAAAAATTGTGTTTTTTTATATTAATATTTATATCATCCTTATTTTAAATTACTCTATCAAATCATGGAGTTTGCTATTACAACCCTCAATACTTAAGTATTTTTAAATTAGTCCCTCAAATGATTGAAAGTGCTATTAAGTACCCCAATTCTTAAGTTATTTTGAAATTTGTCCCTCAAAGAAATAGTAGAATTAGCACTTAAAGGGATTAATTTGAAACAACAAATCAGAATTGGGGAGATAATAGAAATTTTGATGATTCGAATGACTAAATTTCCTCTGGTTGCTACTTTTATAATTGATTGGAAGGACCATTTTCACACTAGTTTAAGAATTGAGAGACCCATTAGCTATTAGTGCAAAAAAAAGAAAAACAAAATAATGATTTAAACATTTTATTTGAAAATACATCATATACCCTACCACTTAAAATAAAAATATAGCTATTCTAGAGTGTATTGGATCTAAAGTGATTCTTGAAGTGGGTAGGTTTAAAAATAAATGGGGGAAATTTTTGAGTTTATAGGAGAAACCCCTCTTTTGAAGTGGGTGAGTTAAAAAAAAAAGATAAAACTTTGGGCTTATATCCGAAAACTTCTTATGGGAGTGTATTGGCTTAAAAATAAAACCGGGATAAAACTTTGTGTTCCAAGATGAAAAGACGCGGGAACACTTGTGGGTGAGCTTAAAAATTAATGGGGATAAATCTGAGTTTAAGACGAAAAATCAACTCTAGAAGTGGGTGAGTTTAAAAATAAATGAGGTAAAACTTTAGTTCTATAAGCAAAGAAAAAAAATCTTCTATATACTCAAGTTTTTTTTATCTACTGTTTATAATGTTTATAGATCTTTCAATAAATCTTTGGAAATAAGTGGGTTTAAAAATAAATAGGGTAAAACTTGGTTTATAAGCACAATATCCAACTTTAGAAGTGACCTTGTTTAAAATAAATGGGGGTAAGATTTTCAATTTATAGGCAAAAAAAACCTATATATTAAAATATTTAAGTATAATATAGCAGGTTTATTATGTAAAAGTTGATAGAACTAGGGGTCGTTATTATGAAAAATTGGGTTTTTTACTATTAGTCCTTTTTATCATTGTTATTTTAAATAAGCCTGTCAAATCATAGAATTTTCCATTACAACCCTCACTTCTTAAGCATTTTTAAATTAGTCCCTCAAACCATTGAAACTGCTATTAAGTACTCCAATTCTTAAGTTATTTTGAAATTCGTCCCTCAAATAAATAGTAGAATTAGCAACTAAAGAAATTTATTTGAAACAACTAATTAGAATCGGGGACCTAATGGAAACTTTGATGATTCGAATGACTAAATTTCCTCTGATTGCAACTTTTATAATTGATTAGAGAGACTAATTTCACAATAATTTAAGAATTGGGGGATCAATTAGCAATTTCAATGATTTGAGGGACCAACTTCAAAGTGCCTTAACGACCTAATAGCAAATTCCATAATTTGAGGGACTAATTTCAAAGTAAGGAAGATTTAAGGGACTATCGGAAAAAAAATCCAAAAAAATTAATACCTCTGCCCTGAATGGCCAAGGATCCAATTAAGTAAGCTACATGGCTACTTGTGAAAACTTGTAACTACAAGAAAATGCATACTATTTCTATGGGTATATAGTATATAATATAATCATCTACTATTTAACCTTATAATCTGAGGTATAGATTGTGCTTGAACAACAATCATTCAACATATTTATATTTAGTTTATTTCTACTAAATGCCCTGTGATTAGTTAGACATATAATGGGTAACATGTATTAGAGGCTTAGAGCTCTGCTAA